CTGCGCTTATTTCACTCCTCCCCTCACTGCAGCCGCCTACTCTCGCCTACATTTCAGGCAAGGCGAGGCGCATCTCAAACAAGCCTATTGGCATGATTGAGAGCAACCGTGAGAGGTCACTGAACGCAGCCCTGGCTTTTCAGACCGATGAGCTTTGTAAAAATCGACGAGTTTCAGGAAGGCGGGGCATAGAGGAGAAACAATATTGTACAGTATGTGGAAAATAATGTGTTTTTTAACCCTAAACCGCATAAACACATTCATTACACCAAATAATGTTCTTTTTTAGCAGCATCATATGACCCATTTAAAATGAATATTTAAAATGTATTACTCCCCACGCCTGTAGAGGGCACTGTGGTGTGTAAACCCCTACGGCACCAAGTCGCGTCGAAAAAGACCCGCTCAGTAGCGTGTAGAGTAGTCGATTGCGGACCTTTGAAGGTAATTTATTTACTTAACAAAATCTATACTAAATGTAAACCTGATTAATATCAGTGAAATCTAATATATGTGTTTGTGACAGGTTCAAAATGGTGTTGCGGAGGCTCTTTTATGCTTTGATAAATAACGCTCAAGTGGTGGAGAAGCTCTCGGAGTCTCGACCCATCCGACGGGCGGCGCAGATCACGGCCTTCGCCATCGCTAAAGCTCAGATCGCCGGGAAAGACGCCTCGACCAAGCTGCTCAGATCCGAGACTTTTCGCCAGATACGCGAGGAGACGTCAAAGATGCCCAGAGATGTGGAAGATTTGGGTCGGAGAGCTACAAGACTGCGGGATACGTTTGTGAAGGAGGTGAAAGAGGGAACGAGAGACGCCAACAGACCGATAAAAGACAGAAAGTGACCGTTGAAGCGCTGAATGAGTGAACCTTATATTAATGGCGTTACTACGGTGCCACTTGTGAATATGAGGACAGCGTCATTAAAGACTCCTTTTAGAAAATTAAACTGTAAGACTGGGGTTTTTATGGCCCTCAATAAACTAAATTAAATTAATATCACTGTAAAGTCCGTAAGAATGCTGGTAATGATGCTTGGATGACTGCAAGTGCTTTGTTGTGAAATAAATGAAGGATTTGGGATTAGTTATGTCACCTTATTGACAACATTTGAAAACAGAGTATTAAATGAAAACATTTTAAACGTACAATAATTTTATGATCTCCACGAGGACGAAGCGCGAGAGCTCCAGTTCACACACAGCATGACTGTACTGCAGATGTGACGTTTATGTGACATAAGCATGATGTCTGACCATCAAAAGTATCTTAGGCTTTGTTAAAACCAAAAGTATAAATAAAAGTAAATGTAGTTTGTTACTATAGAATTAACGTTATATCTCACAATGTTACTTTGTTTTAAACTTTAACTTTCCATTCTCCTGTTTTAGTACATAGTTTTTACTCTGTAGCGAAAACGAGTTTCCATAATACATAAAGCAACCATTAAATACTGGAAGAATACTTGTTACAACTTACAAGTCCAACTGCATGTAGTCAAAGAAATACATAAGTGGAGTAAAACGGTGTTTAAACCATTTGACATGGACATCTTTGAACACTTACAGTGCCTTGCGAAAGTATTCATACCCCATTCATTTTTTCACATTTTGTTGTGTTGCTGCCTTATGTTAAACCGCTTTAAATTACTTTTTTTCCACATCAATCTACACTCCATACACCATACTGACAAAGCAAAAACAGAATCGTCACAACTTCGTAAATTTATATAAAAAAAAAAAACTGAAATAAGTATTCATACCCTTAACTACATAATTCGCTGAAGCACCTTTACAGTCTCAAGTCTTTTTTGTTTAATGC